GTCTGGCGCACCCCTGACCATCGCCCGCTCTGCTACCACTGCGGCGAGGCCGGACACACATACCGCCGTTGCCAGTACCGACAGATGGGACTGCGTGGCTTCGCCGTCAATGCACCGCGTCCACAGCCAGGAGAACGACCACGTGACATCGCCGACTACCTGACAGGAACTCGGTGGACACCACGAAGCCCTTCGCGTTCGCCGTCGCCCAGCCGCCGCACGTCACCGCACCACCGGCAGTACTCTGGCCCAACGCGGGGCCGGTCTCCTAGCCCGTATCCGGGAAACTAAGGGCAGCAACCGGTGGAGGTGCGGTTGCTGTGCGACGAACTACCGAAGATCCTCCGACGACGACGACGGCGCGACGGAGCTATCCGAACACAACGCCAGCCAGGCAAAGCCCTGACGGCGAAAGCTCATTTACCGAAGGTGGCCTGACGACGCAGCATGGAAGCAGCGGAACAAGCCGACGCAGCCGTGACCCGACGCCACGCCCTAACTGTAATGCGAGACGGCGAACTAGCGACCTCGACGTTCTTATCGACGGCCACAGTGTGACTGCTCTCGTCGATACTGGAGCCGACTATTCTGTCATCAGTGGGTCGTTCGCCGCAAAGTTAAAGAAAGTTAGGACAGCTTGGAAAGGCCCTGAAATCCGCACAGCCGGAGGTCATCTCGTAACGCCTGCAGGAATCTGCACAGCGAGAGTCACCATTAACGGCCGTATTTATCCTACAGACTTCGTAGTCCTACAGCGTTGCTCGAGAGATGTCATCCTTGGCATGGACTTCTTATGCCTCCATGGTGCTGTCATCAACCTAAAAACAAAGTCGATAACGTTATCCACAGAAGAAGCACTACCGCCGCGCACGCCGTCAGGACACCATGCCTTGAATGTGCTGGAAGAACAAGTCACCATTCCTCCTCGCTCAAGCGTCATTATTTCAGTCGGCGCTCCTAAATCACCTGACTTGGAAGGCGTCGTTGAAGGCAGTCAGCATCTGTTGGTCACCCGAAATATTTGCGTCGCAAGAGGAATTGCAGAGCTGCGGGGAGGCAAAGCAACGGTTTTGCTCACGAATTTCAGCAATGAGTACAAACATGTGAACAAAGGAACAACGGTCGCATACATCGAAGAAATTGTCGAAGCCACCAGTGCTTTCGCCCTCGCCGATTCTGCGGAACCTGCTCAGAGGAACCAAGCCCCTCCCATAGCTTTCAAAGTCAATCCCAGACTTCCGAACGATAAGCAAGAACAGCTCAAGGCCCTGCTCCTGCAATACGAAGATTGCTTTTCGTCGTCATCGAAAATTCGGCAGACCCCAATCACGAAACATCGCATCATAACCGAAGAAAATGCCAGACCACTCCGTCAGAGTCCTTACAGGGTTTCGACGCGAGAACGTGAGGCCATGAAGAGACAAGTTGATGAAATGCTGCGGGATGACATTATCCAGCCGTCCAAGAGTCCATGGGCATCCCCCGTGGTGTTAGTGAAGAAAAAGGATGGGACCCTACGTTTCTGCGTCGATTATCGCCGCCTAAACAAAATCACAAGAAAGGACGTGTATCCTCTCCCACGAATAGACGACGCACTTGATCGGCTCCATAACGCAAAGTACTTTTCGTCAATGGACCTTAAGACTGGCTATTGGCAAATCGAAGTCGACGAAAGAGACCGAGAGAAGACGGCGTTCATAACACCGGACGGCCTCTTCGAGTTTAAGGTGATGCCCTTCGGCCTTTGCTCAGCGCCTGCAACGTTTCAACGCGTTATGGATACAGTACTGGCAGGATTGAAGTGGCAGACTTGCCTTGTGTACTTGGACGACGTCGTCGTGTTTTCCTCGAGTTTCGACGAGCATCTTCGGCGCCTTGAAGCTGTACTTCAAGCCATCAAGACTTCCGGACTCACACTGAAGCCAGAAAAGTGCAGATTTGCGTATGAGGAGCTCTTGTTTCTGAGGCACGTTATCAGCAAGTCTGGAGTTCGTCCCGATCCACGGAAAACAGCCGCCATCGCCGACTTCCCGCCGCCCACTGACAAGAAAGCCGTGCGCCGATTTCTGGGCCTGTGTGCCTATTATAGGCGGTTCGTGAAAAACTTCGCCCGCATCGCCGATCCTCTCACTAACCTTACCAAGGCCGACGTGGAGTTTAAGTGGGAAACGCTGCAGGAACACGCTTTCCAGGAGCTTAAACATCGCCTCCAGACGCCTCCGTTACTTGCCTATTTCGACGAATTCGCCGAGACAGAAATACATACTGACGCAAGCACCGTAGGTCTTGGCGCCGTTCTTGTGCAGAGGGCTGACGGACTTGAAAGGGTTATTAGTTACGCCAGCCGATCGCTATCCAAAGCAGAAGCAAATTATTCCACAACAGAAAAGGAGTGCCTCGCCATCATCTGGGCTACGTCGAAATTTCGCCCCTACCTCTACGGCAGGCCCTTCAAAGTTGTGAGCGACCACCACGCATTGTGTTGGCTAGCCACCTTGAAGGACCCCTCAGGTCGCCTCGCACGATGGAGCCTGAGACTTCAAGAATATGACATTACTGTCATTTACAAGTCCGGCAAAAAACACTCCGACGCTGACTGTCTCTCTCGTGCGCCTGTCGACCAACCGCAACCCGACGACCCGGATGACGACTACTTCTTAGGAACGATAACTACCGACGACTTCGCTGAACGACAGAGGGCCGACCCGGAACTTAAGGCCCTAATAGAATACCTCGAAGGCAGGACCACCGAAGTCCCGAAGATATTCAAGCGCGCACTCTCGTCGTTCTTTCTACGAAACGGTCTTCTACAAAAGAAAAACTTTTCACCGCTTCGAGCTAAGTACCTTCTTGTGGTGCCTTCAGCTCTGCGACCAGAACTCCTGCAGGCCCTTCACGACGATCCGACGGCAGGGCACCTCGGTGTTTCTCGCACGCTCGCGAGGATACAAGAAAGGTACTACTGGCCACGTCTTACCACCGACGTCACTCGTTATGTGAGAACATGCCGGGACTGTCAGCGACGCAAGACACCGCCGACAAGGCCAGCGGGACTTCTGCAGCCAATTAATCCACCTTGCCGACCTTTCCAGCAGATTGGTATAGACCTACTGGGGCCGTTCCCGACGTCGGCTTTCGGAAACGAGTGGATCGTGGTAGCTACCGACTACCTCAACCGCTACGCCGAGACAAAAGCCCTGCCAAAAGGCAGTGCATCCGAAGTAGCTAAATTCCTCGTCGAAAATATCGTCCTACGTCATGGCGCCCCAGAGGTCCTTATCACCGACAGAGGAACGGCATTCACTGCCGACTTAACTCAAGCAATCTTGGCATACAGCCAAACAAACCACCGCCGGACGACAGCGTACCACCCACAGACCAACGGCCTCACCGAGCGGCTTAACAAGACGATCGCCGACATGCTGTCAATGTACGTCGATGTCGAACACAAGACGTGGGACGCCATTCTTCCGTATGTGACCTTCGCATACAACACGGCGGTGCAGGAGACGACGCAGATATCGCCATACAAATTGGTCTACGGAAGGAGCCCGGCAACGACGCTCGATGCCATGTTACCCAATGTCACCGACGAAGAAAACCTCGATGTGAGCGAGTACCTTCAACGCGCCGAAGAAGCCCGACAACTTGCGCGCCTCCGTATCAAGAATCAACAGACGACCGACAGCCACAGTAACAACCTACGACGACACTTCGTGGAATACCAGCCCGGTGAACGTGTTTGGGTGTGGACGCCGATACGCCGACGTGGACTAAGTGAAAAGCTTCTGCGACGGTACTTCGGACCGTACAGGGTGGTTCGACGGCTCGGCCCACTTGATTACGAGGTTGTCCCCAAAGGCACCACGAACTCTCAACGACGCCGATCGCGACCTGAAGTCGTCCATGTCGCGCGCCTCAAGCCGTTTCATGCGCGTTAACAAACTGAACTAGTGTTTTTTTTTATTATTGTTGTATCGTATTTATTCATTGTACTTTCTTGCATTATTATTGTACTTTCATCTTTAGTTAAAGCATCGGGACGATGCCATTTTTCAGAGGGGGGCAATGCCACGTTCCATTTCCCAAGTTTTTGTTATCGTCCGAAAACACCGCACGATTCTCAGCGCAAACCGCGCCTGCAGTTTTCTAGAAGGTTCCGGACTGTAGTAGATCATTTCGATAAGATCACGCCCACTGTGCGAACGGTACAGATTGTTCTGGAAGCTACGCCACCGCCAGCGATAACGCTAGAACATTCGACGGCAAGAGTATAAATGCCGACGCGCTTCGCCGCTTGTCAGTTGTTGATCGAAGGCCGACGTTCCGTTCGCCGCTATCAGTCCGAGACTGCTATCTGTGCGAGACTGCTGCTGTAATTGGACTTTCAGTTTACCGGCACAGGTTCGCCCAAATAAACAGTTAAATCCTAACACGAAGTCTCCTGTCTTCGGCCACGTCACGACCCCGTGACAATATTAATGACATGGGCTGCCTGAAAGCCAAACACGCTGCTCGACAAACTCAATCAACAAGGGTCACAAATAAGACGACAATGCAGGTAGAAAGTGACATCAATGATCGAATCACGTTCAACAAGGTCATATACAAGCTCGTCGCAAGCCATGACAACCTTTGTCGATGAAATTAAATCAACTCACTGCGTGTTATACGCAGACGACATGACTATAACTGCAGCTGAGGACTCTCTAACTTCTCTTACTTTACACTTGAATAACACACTTCTTGCATATTACTAAATGGTGCTACGAGAACCAACTTAATATTAACCCAGCCAAAACCAAGTTTATGATATTTAGGTCCGCTCAAAGGCCATTGCCTTTTCATCAACACTTAACCCTATGTCCTCACTCTATACCCACCTGTGATACTGTAATTTTTCTTGGTGTACATCTTGACTGCCATTTAAAGTTTAATCTCCACACTGATCACCTCAGAAAGAAAACTGCATTCGGAATTCGGGCTAATAAAAAAAGCTCGTGAAGTTTTTCATATAAACGTACTTATGTCTCTGTATTTCGCCTTCATTCATTCCCATATCATGTATGGTCTCACTGCTTGGTGAAACACGTATGACTGTCATCTGTCACCCATTCAGAACATACAAAATCAGGCGATCCGCATTATCACTAATAGCTCACGATACTCCAGTGCAGGCCATCTACTCCAAGACAACAAAATCCTACCTGTTCGTAAGTTATTTTTTTATAGCATTGCCGTTCTTCTGTTTCAATTGCGCAATGCACTGCTACCGTTTGAGTTCATTGATTCAGTCTTCTTACAAAACAACAATGTAACCAGATTTGCAATGAACCTTAACTTTTTGCTACCCGCGTCGCGCACAAATTATGGACAAATGACCTCTGCCTTTGCGGCCATTACTTTTTGGAATAACATGCCTCTTCTAGTAAAACGATGCCCACATTGTCATCATTCAAAAAGTCGCTTAAAAGTTTTCTGTGAAATTATTAGCTGCCTGTATATGGGCTTTTTGGGGGCTTTGCGTTTTTGGTTATGCCATTTAGATCATTGCATTTCGATTGATAATGTCCGCCACTGAACGAGATGTTTTTTTTCGTTCTTTCTTTTTTCTTTCCTTATTTGCCTTGCTTTTTGTTGCCTGATGTGTCACTTAGCCTATAATTATTACTCATCACTCTATATTGTAAAATTGATTTCCATTCACTCGTTGCTTGTTAACTTGATCTGATTTATTGATTGTTAAAATGCATCGAGGGTCCCGTTACAGTTTTTAACTTTGGGACCCTCGTCTGTATATTATTATTACTGTACTACTTTTTTGAAATGAAAAATAAACTGAAACTAAACTGAAACTGAAACTGAATGCCGAAATCGAAGAAGCGATTGCATTCGAGAAACTAAAGAGTAAATACAAGTCTGTGGCGCATTATTACAATCAGGCACTAGAGATCCTGAAGTACCTATGGCGCAGTCTTGAAGAGCTCAAACTCAGCAACACACAGTGGATGTCTAATTCGACAACTATCAACCTGCCACCTGCTCCAACCACAGTTGTGGCTCAGAAACTTGAGTCACATCTCCCAGCACTGATAATCAAGCTATTTCATGAACACGTGCATCAATGGACATCCTTTTGAGAGTGTTTCAATGACGCTGTCCACACAAACACAACGAATAAATATCAATACCTCCGCAACTACCTTGTAGGTGAAGCCGGGCTACCAACGAAGGACACGTGCTATGAGATTGCCATCCAGATGTTGAAGCAGAGGTTTGGCGACAAGAGCAGGATCATACAACAGCACTTCAGAGAGGTTCGTGAACAGCCGCTGGTGATGTCTTCATCGAATACGAATGGACTGCGCATGCTTTAGGATGCAGTACAGCTGATCTTTTGCTAAATCAACATTTTAGACATACCAACGAGCACTTTTTCGGCAATGCTCTATGGCATCATGCTTCAATCCTTGCCCCAAAATATTGTTTTCGCGTTCCGCAACCACAGACATCTCCAGGATGAAGTGCAAACTTCTGCTTCAATGAAGGTACCCTTAGCGTATTGTGAAAAACTTGAGAAGCTCTTACGATATGCACGACAAACATGAGAGCAGTATACTTCATCCTCGTCCTCTATCAAAGACAGTGAGAACTACGGAAAACATGTGCCATGCATCTGTCCTACACGCATCGGGAGGATCGAAGCAAGTGCACCACGAATGCTTCTTTTCCAATTCTGCAGACACAAAAGCAAGGCATGCAGCGCTACATTGACCATACTTGAAAAAAGAGAACCTTCTGGCTGAATTCATGCAGCGCTATTGATGTACTAATAAGGGCCACCGCGCAAAAAAGTGCCGGCACATGCAAAGGCAGGCATACTTCAATTATGTGTGACCCAGATTATTGCGCAAAAAGAGGTGAGAAGTCACTCAACGTCGTTTCTTATGCCCCCAAGTCACAGGAAGCAAATAGTTCAAAGATGACTGCAGTAACAAGTTGTCAACTGGACGAAGCCGTCAGTTTACAGACATTCTGTTCTTGGATTGTCACTTTCAAGGAGACTTCTTACATCAGAGGCATCATCGACAAAGACATTCAATGCACGTTCATTAAAAAGACCTGGTGATACACTTGGGACTGAAAATAATTAGACGTGCCTATCAGTGAACACGTATGGATCATATGCCCCTTCTTGTATGAGAACATGCAATGTCGACGAGGTTCGCCTGCAGAGCCAAGGAGACAACACCAAGAACATCATCAAAGCCATAGCCTTGCCTGTAACTTGCCATTATCTCCCAGCCACGGCTGTGGATTGCTCTTTTGCTGCGAAATTACGTGAGCAAAATAAACTGCTGGCAGACAAGCAAACTCTGCCTCGGCAGTGCGGTGAGAAAGGCATTCGCCTGCTTATTGAATCTGACCACCTGAGAAATTCAGTGAGCGGTGACATTATATGCAGCTGGAAAGTGCGAGGATTGGTCAGAGTCAAGACCACTCTTCATTGGACACTTCAAGGTCCTGTCACAAGAATGAGCTTTATAAACGGAACCTCTGAAGTGATGATCTGCGTCCTTCGAGTGCAAGCTGAAGCTGAAAGATTGGCGCAAAACATACCGCGGTCATTTGGGACATTAGAGAGAATAGCACTAAAGAAAAGAACTCACGGACCCGAACACATCTTGCCTGTTTTCCAGAGTACGAATAAAAATATTGGGAAACGATCTCGAGTATCCATGCCATGTAAAGACAACGTCACCGAGCTGCTTCAAAACAACAATAGCCTAGCAGTTACTGACCCACAAAATTTGTTTATATGGACCTTGAAGCTCAAAGAAGCGACCGAAACATGTGATACAGCGTTTCATAAGTACATGGTTTCCAGCCATGCTGAAGCTGTGCTCGAAAAGACGGTGCTCATTACTACGAGCCTCAGAGAAGTTATGCGAAAGGACTTGATTCCTACTAAGCTACATGTGCTTTCTGATGCATCCTCTCACGAAAAAAATTACCAGAACAGTTCCTTCTAAACTGCACCTATCACAGCAAGAGTGCCACGTTTAGTCTCCGACGTCTATTTGAAGTATAAAAGAGATGAATCATCCCTGCTGACGAAGTATTGACAGTGAAGAGATCCGAGCAGTTCAACCTGAATTGTTTTCTGACGAGAGAAGCAGCCTACTACAACAACAAGAAGGTAAACGTTAGTGCTGACATCTCGCACTTGAAGGAGAGGCTCAGCTCTATCATACACGCGATGAGATTTCTCGCAGGTAAAACGTGGGGCACATCAGTGTCATCTATGCTTCAGCTTTACAGAGGGCTCTTTTTGGGATATTTGCGGTGTAGCACACCCGTGCTTTCCAACGCTGGAAAAACTAACATCAGGGTCCTGCAAAGCATTCCAGGCCAAGTCCTCCGCACATGCTTGGGGCTACCTCGGTGCGCTAATACGTCAGCAACAATTGGTATTGCTAAAGACCATCCGATCACAACTTATATAACTGTCGACACACTCCGGACACATATCCGTCACATATCCAGAGTGCCTAACCATCACCTTGCTAGCTTGCCACTAGAAAGACCAAAGGCAGCGTTTTCGAAAGTTGTTGCGGCTAACCATAATTCCATCTCGTGAAGATTCTCGCCCGCAACCACCCCACTATCTCCAGAGTGGCACATGAAAAGACCGACTGTGCACCTTGAAGTGCCGGGGATATCTAAAAAGGCAAGCCCGTCATCTTCAGCCCTCAAGCAGATCTCACTGGACCTTTTGCATTTGTCGTATGCTAACCGAAATCATGTTTACACGGACAGTTCGGTCTCGGGAAGTTCGACAGGTGCCTTTGTCATACCATCTCGATCAATCACCGTCAAATTCAAGACATCACACGTCACGACATCTACGGGATCCGAGCTCGCCGCTCTTTGAGCCGCTGTGGAGTTTGTTACGCAAGAATCTCCTAGTAGATGGGCCATTTTATGCAACTCCAAGGCAGCCCTTCAATGCGTGCGAATTCTAGGACGTGGAAACTACCACCACATGGTGTATCGTATTAATGAAATTTGTCATCGCGCTGCTGATCAAGGACACGACATTGTTTTACAATGGTTGTCGGGCCACTGTGGCATCAGTGGTAACCATCTCGCCGACGACGCTGCCCGATGTGCCCACGATGGAGCGCCCACACTGTTAATACCCTTGTCAAGAGTAGACGCAGCTAGAGAACTTCGTCACATCGTGCATAACGCCACGCTTGTCCACTAGAATTCTCCACTTAACTCCAACCATCGTCCTAAGAATATTAAGTCATTACTACAGAAACAACTGCCATCCAAGATTTCTTGACATGACGTTACAATGTTGTGCCGGCTGTGACCTTAAGTAGCGTTTACTAAGTCATTCAGCCATCGCATTGGCATGGCGGATTCATCCATGTGTGAAAGCTGCACCTGTATAGAGACTATTGAACATCTCTTGTGCCACTGTGCCCAATTTGATGAAGATCGCCGGACTCTCCAGTGTGCCTTGAATAGACTCAATGACCGGCCATTTAATGAAGCAAAGATCTTAGGAGCCTGGTCACGCAGCACATCAGCACAGAAAGCCACACGAGCCCTCCTGAGATACTTGTCAGCATTTTCATTGAGGGACCACCTGTGAAACTCGGCATTGTGTGTGTGATGTGACATGTGTCTATCCTTCTCTCTCTCTTTTACTCCCCTCTCCCTCTCTTCATGTGTAGGGTAGCAAACTGGACGCATAGTCTAGTTAACCTCCCTACCTTTCCTACATTCCTTCTCTCTCTCTCTAAACGTTAGTGAGACCATGATTGTGGACATTACAAACGTGTCAGAGTTAATCTGGCCACTACTCTATGTTCAAGAGGTGTACCTAGCAAACGACCAAGTTGTTCGTGCCTGCTTCTTCTGATTACAGCGCGGCAGCCTTCAAAAGGCCAGTGCAAAAGCCAAACTGTCTGAAACTAGATCTGAGCGCATTTGACGCCCTGGATGATGCCGGAGATCAGCAGATGATGACAAAGAAGAAGTGATCCTGGGCTGCTGTCCCCCCAGCGAGTGCCAACAAGTGCGTGAGGCCCTATCATCATCATTGTCAGTTTAGTGTTCAATTGTTGCTAAACGCATTACAGTCGACCCCACTTATAACGAACCTGAGCGTGACGCGGCATCCGTTCCCTGTATTCCGAAGTTCCTAGTAAATGAAACACAGTTTTTTAAAAAAAAGTTGCGAGTTAAAACACAAACTTTTTATGTCCCGAAAAGTCCGTTATGCACGTGTTTCGAATAGCAGAAGCAATAAGGGTAGTCTAAAGTTCATTTAAAACGGCAGGGTACATTTCGTTGAGCGGCAGGAAAAAAAAGCATGCTAGTCCTCCCATCGGCCATCATGGCCACACATGCACACCAAGAGCGAGCAAGATGCGCACACGCAACACGCATGCCAGAACGCGTGGTTCAGCTCTGGGCCCATTTCCAACCAGAAAACAAAACTAATTCGAGCCAGCGTGGTGGGCATCGCGGAATGGTGGAGACGGGCGAAGGGGTTGTGATGGAGGAGAGCAGACTCACGAGAGAAGGGCAAGTAGTTGCGATAAAGGGCGGGGAGAATACGGCGGGAGGGTGAGCTTGAAATCAAAAACATACGGAAAGTAGGCAGATTGGGTAGCTTGCTTGAAAGGTCCGCGAAACTCGCACGTAGAAAAACTGGGAAAAACTGCATAGCCGCCTGAATCGCTGCGCGCGGTGGTGTTCGAAGAATCGGCGGCCGTGGTAAAAAAAATTGTTTTGTTGCGCAGGCGGGTTTGCGTGGCCTCACGAACTTCGATATTTAGTTATTTGTTCCGCGCAAATTAACAGCCATTTTCGGCTTTTGCACGCGTGCGGAAGGCATGCTGAGCCGAGTGCGAAGTTAACAAGAACAAGTCCTAAACACGGAACGAATCGCAGATTATCAGAGTCGGTGGGGTATCGTATGCACGTGCACTAGACGCAGACGATCGGATGCAGTCGGTTGCCGACGATGCTGGCAAATGGTCTGGTTACTTCAGGCCGGCGACGTGAATGACAGAACCAGCGATCAAAAACGGGGTAGATGGCCGACCGGTCTTCGAAAGATCGGTGGCAGCGTGAAAACACGGGCCTCGTCTGGCGATGCGGAATGCTCAGAGTAGCAAGGGGACAAAGGACGGAGGGGTGCGTAACAAAAGCGATCGGGGAGAGTGTCGACTAGAGGGGCGCGGAGACAGGGTGGGCATTTAACAATAAGAATGTATGGGCACCTCGCCGATGCCTGATCGGTGGTCAAAATCGGTTTCCCGGGAAGTCGGCTGACCGCTGACTCCGTTCGCTGTAACCGATCAGCGGCGCTCGGAGACTTTCGGTGTAAGTGCGACTTTGTGCCTTTGAACCAATGTATATTTTCACGGTTATGCGAATATTGTTCGTTTTATACAAAAGTTTACTTTTAAGTGGGGTCGTTATATGTGGGCTAGACTGAATGTTCTTAGTCTCGCAGTTTTGTCTTTCTGTCGGTGCTTCACCTATCGAAGGCCGGCGTTCAGTGACAAACACATCAGCTGTTAGATGCCTAGAATTGAAATATCCACAGATCAAGTCAGTTTAGAGATAAGATGTACAATTCACTGCTCATTTCTTTGCAATTCATACCCCATGTATATTCATATGTTTAATAATGCTCAGCATTTGCTTCACAAATGAGTTGTGCTATGCAACAAGTCTTTGGGTCCATCAACTTTGACCACCAAAATCTATGACATAAGTGCTGTACCCTTTGAACTGGTGCAGCTATAGTCCAGCAGGAGTCTATCCTAAGGAAACCAGCACCGGATAGGTTGCACGCCGAAAAAAGGCACCTTACGGTGAATCGTGCCACAACTCAGCCGCTCAGATGATCGGCCGCAGTGTACCGCATTGAAAGCATGTGCGTGCACTGTTCCCGTGCTTGATTTCAGCCTGAACAGATTGAGCAGCCATTGCACCAGTAGTTCTGCACTAAGATTTAGAAGAAAAAAACTTTGTCAGAAGGTTGTTACTTTCACATGAAATCACTGCAATATGTAGAGAAGCTCTGCAAGGTCGACTATGCCTATATGTGCTTATGGCGTCGAAAAGCCGTGATGACGATTCCATTGTCAAGTCTTTCTGAATGTTTGCTGGTATTTGTGTCAAGCAACAGCAGGCTGACGGGCTTCCATTGACAGGTACGTGCTTCGTTGATACCACACTGCCCACTTGCGCAGTAAGAAAGATAGAGGCAGGAGGTAGCTGCGCCAATTCATTTTCAGCCATGGTATGTATTCCCAATGCACAGTATGGTTACATGTGGACGTTGATACATTGATAAAGCGAACCACCGAGGTAGCGTAGCACGTATAGTGTGTTCTGTTACGCTAGAGGGTCTGGATAGATTCCCAGCCATGAAGGCCGCACTTCGATGGAGGGCCAATCACAAAGATCACTGGTGTTCATCGATTATTGTGAACATTGTGAAAACCTAAGTGGAGAAATTAATCTTGGTACCCGCACAATGGCATACCTCATAATTATACCTTGTTTGGCACGCGAAAGCCTATCAATTATCAATATTGCCATACATGTTAATTTCATAAGCTCCATTTTGATTTATAGCAACAAAAACTGAACAATACTCGACGCAGATCGCGCCTCATTATTCGAGAAGCTTCATGTTTGTAGTAGATCATTTAGTGGAGAATGTACACAGGATGCGAACAACCAAAATTACTCCAGAGCTTACATGATCAGCAGTGATAAGGCTAGAAAAATGCACGCGTGATGTATAAAAGACAGCATCCTCCAATGATGGTCAGATGACTGACGTACAATGCTTTTTTCGCCACTATAAATGTTCAGTATGTATTGCTGTAGCCCGACTTTTCTTTTCATGGCTACAAATTTGCCCCAAAACAGAGTTTTAGCTTGGACACACCACCTGCTGCTTTGCTTCATATCTCAACCACGTAACAATATTGATTAAACACCTTCATTCTAAGGAGACACAGGCAAGTGAAAAACTAGAACAGTACTTTAGGCAAATTCGACGACGCGTGGATTTCCAAGACATCTGACACTTCACTAGCTAGGCATGAATTCCAATGTCACTTCACAACAGTTACCATCGCGATGCCACAAGCTGAGTAGCATGCTGATTTCATTTCTGATAATCAACTGGTGAAGTGGCCCTGGTTGCCCCTGATGGCTGTAGAGCCTATCAAACAAATCTAGTATACACATGAAAATTTGTTTGGAAACCATCCTGGCGTCACTAGAGAGAAGAGCAAAAGCAGAACATACTCTGCTCACCCAACGGCCTGGATGCAACACTGGCTCCGATCTTATTCTATATATATATTAGAAAAAAAAAACCTAGCCACATGCATCCACCCTCATTACAACATATTGTGGCACTTGAATAGACAGCAGTACCGCCAGCGCCTTTTGGTTTTGTTTTGGCAATGCGCGCCCGCACTGCCCCTACCAGTAGCTGCTTTCGTCTGCGGGAGCGGCTGAGAACTGAGCGCTTTTATTTATTTATGCATTTACTTATTTATTTTTACACATACTGCTGTCTCACTTCGAAACATTGCAGGCGTGGGTACAGTTGCTTGTAAATCATGCATTACATGAAACAAATCAGCATAAAGTTCAACACAAAGCTGTATGGTTTAACATGC